ATTGGAAAAGAGAATATTGATTTAAAGATAGGACAAACAGAGTTAAAATCACTATAGTTTTAATACATGTATCGAACCAGTTTGAATACTGTTTTAGGTATTTGATCATTAGATAACGTTTCGTTTCTTTTTTAAGACTATTCATTTGATTATTTTAAATATCTTTACTTAAGTAAGTCGATTATCTGCAATAATTCTAAATTGCTCTAGTTTGAATAAAGGAAGACTGGAAGTATCATATTGTTAGATTTAATTCGTTCTATCTTATATATATATATATGTGCTACAGCATGACTTAGAGCAAAACTATGCTTTATCAAAGAACTGTTTACGTCCGATAAGAACAAGATTTGATTTTTAAAAAGAAAAAAAAACTGAACGATCAATTTTTATTCCTTTTTTTTGACAAATTTATTTTCTAAAGTCCTTGCTGAATAGTATTAAAAAAAACTGTGTAAATTTAATCCAGTGTTCCATTTGTTTTATTGCTTCTGATGATGCAATTCTTAATTAAATAGTACGAGATAGAAGAGATCTCGAATCTCTTGATTTGTTTTATACTTCAACAGACTACAGATGAACTATCTGGTATTGAAAGTTGTATCTATAGAAGAATTTGTTGCTCTTTCAAAATTCATAGTTTTGTCACCAATTTCTAAAAAATTCAAGTAATGAGCAGATATATTGTACAAGAATGAATATTGTGTTGGATATTCTGTGACATATAACTCACATGAAAAACAAAATTTTTTTATGAACAACTAGATTTAATTTTAATAGAAACAAGAACCTCTGCATTATTTCACAGTAGTTCTTCTTATTTCTTCTTTACTTTTTTGCTGAACGTGCACATGGCACAAAAAATAATATAACTATTATTAATGATATGAGATTAAAATAACTAGTTGAATATATTTTGCATATGTTACGCTTCATTTAATACATATATCCTTCTAAAGAAAGTAAACGTCTAGATAGGCGTAAGACACGTTTCATAATAAAAGGTAACGATTTATAAAGAGACGATATATAGGTAATATTTATTATTCTTTTGCTATTCTCTCATTTTGCCATGCATTTCTTTATTTTTGCGTTAGAAAATTTGCACTCAAATAACTAAATTGTATTATCATGGCAAAGAATATGACTAGTTCAAATTTAAATGATGATCATTTATGTAATATTCAATCATCATTTTCAACTAATATTATTAGCAATGATAGTGATTATGTAAATAGATCATTTCTTTGTATCCTATTCATATTGAATTATATTTCTTGTATAGTTATTCAGTAAACTTGATGTTAAATCATATGGTACAATAACTTGTAAGTATTGATATATTGCTATAGAAAATATTCATATTGACTTAATTAATTTTTGTTTTGTTTTAGTTCCTCAAAATTACTATAATCGAGCTAATTTTATTCGAATATCGCCGCATGTCTGTCCTACACAAGTCAAAGAATTATTTATTGGACAAAATTATGATACAGTAAATCTTTCGATTTTATCTTTTGTTTAAATAATGATTAGTATTTTATTAGCATCCATCACTTGTTATATCGATAATGGGCAGTGCGAAAGAAAGTTCTCTGAGATCAAAACTATTTCGAATATTTCGTGAAAGTCTTCTTCAAATAGCTCAAACTACCAGTTAGATTTTACGTTACAATTTATTTAAAAAATCAAAGTTATTTATCTTTCTTTAGATGTTTGGGTAATTACTGCTGGACTGAATTCAAGAGTAACAAGATTTTTTGGTGAAATAATTCGAACAAATTCAGATCCATCTCGACCCATTTATTTAATTGTAAGTTATTAATCAAGATTTAATAAAAATCATATATAAAATACAAAAAAAAGGGTATTGCTTCTTGGGGATGTATATCAAATGTCTCACAACTTGATGTTCATGGTAGCAATGTTATTTATTCAAAATTAAAAAGTGATGAAAAAGATGAAACACCACTTGAACCAAATCATACACATTTTATTTTTATTGATGATGAAACGAAACATAAACATGGAAGTGCAATTAAATTTCGTGCTCAATTTGAAAGAGCAATTTTAGGTGAACATTTTTCATTACAAACCTTGACAAATAATAATCAAAAAAAATATAAATCAATAAAATCATATACACAATCAAAACAATCAGGTTAATATATTCATGATAAGAAGAATTTATTCGTTTTTTTTTTTCATTTAGATAGTATGCCTGTTATTGTTGTTGTTATCGAAGGCTGTTCGGATGTGATTAAAAAAGGTTTAGGTATGTTTAATGGTACTATCTACTTAATTTTTTTGTGTTTTAGTTTATCAAAGCGTTGTTAAAGATAGAATTCCTGTTGTCCTTGTTGAAGGTACAGGTGGATGTTGTGATTTATTTGCTAAATGTTATCATTTGTATAATGAATACAAGTCAAAAATGGAATCATATGCTGAAACAAAGTTTGTTTCCTTATCTTAAATATTTATTGAGATCTGTTCGTATTTGTAGTGAAAATTCATCATTATTAATAGAACAAAATGAACAAATAAAAAATAAAATTCGTGAAGCATTACAGATAGTTAATCATGAAATGGCTGAAACTTCATGCACAAACGCACCAGATGAAGGATTAGATTTTTTTGAATTAATATATGAATGTGTTGAAACACGAAATATATTTTTAAATTTTATTGATTTCAAAGTACATAATCTTAGTGGTGAGGATGTTAATTTCTCTATTTTACAAGCTCTTCTTAAAGGTAATCGAAATAAATAAATATTTAATACACAATATTATTAATAGTTACTAGTGAAAATGGTTCATATAAAACAAAACTAGAAGAAAAGCGTGAACAATTAAATTTAGCATATGAATGGAAACAAATTGATATTGTTAAAAATTCTATTATGAAAGATGAACGAGATTGGAAAGTAAAAAATTTAAAGAAAATTTTTGCAATAAATTCTTTAATTATAATATAGAGAATTGAATTAAATGATTTATTTTTCAAAGCTATGATAGAAAATCAAGCAAATTTTGTCGAATTAATTCTTGATCATGATTTTCCATTACATGATTTATTTGAAAATAATAATCAACTTTTAGATCTTTATAAAGCCGAAGTATATATTTATATCTATAATCAAAATAAATAAATTTTGTTTTATATTTTTAGAATATTTATTTTAAAAATGAATTAAATAGTACTTTAAGATCAATTTATAGAGAAATAATTCAACCATTTATTGATAATCATTGTCTAATTGATGCTATTTGTGATCAAGATAATTTAGTAACAAATTCTAAAAGTTTGTTTATTAAAAATAATCTTTTGTTTATTATTAATTGATTATATTAAGATGATTCATCATCAATAATAAGTGAAATTGATATTGATAAGGAACTTTTTCTTTGGTCAGTTGTAACAGGTAGACAAAAATTAGCTTTACTTTTCTGGACTCGTGGAAGAAATAAAATTTGTATGTATTTAAATAAATGAAAATTTTTTTTTTTTTGGATAAATTTTTCGAATGATTAGGTGGTGCTTTCATTGCAATATTAATTTATAAAAGTAAAGCAAAAAAAGAAAAAACTCTTAAATATAATCAGTGGGTCAATCAATTGGAATATTTTGCTGTAGAAATACTTGAAAAATTTTATTCAACATATCCTTCGAAATGTAAACAAGCTATTATTAGAGTAATACCTGAATTTGATAATGTTACTTGGTTACAATTAGCTGTTTTGGCTGAATCAAAATCATTTATTGCTAAACAAGGTGTACAGGATGTACTTAACGATATATGGTATCTTTATTGTATATATAATATTTATTTACTTTATTTTATCTTTTAGGTATGGTCGAATTGATCATCAAGTTGGAAATTTTTTAATAATATTTTCAAGTTTTATGCTTTGGTATAGTGCTTTTCTTCCTTATTATGAAGAAAACAATACATATAATCAACATGATGTATGTCAAGTCAATTTTGGAACTTTTTAAATTGATTGATTGATTACTTTTATTAATAGGATTTTCAAGATGGATCGAATATTTTTCAATGTCGTACGTCAAGATCAAAGCCTGCTATTGATAAGTAGCCTATTCTAAATCAATCTAATCGATTTGTATTAAACTCACAGAATGTTTTTTCTCTAGAGTCTGCACAATGTCAGATGCGACATGTTCGAGATTAATGGATGATGGTTGCGATGAGGAAACAAAATCTATTACTGTTGCCAATGCCGGTTGTTGTAAGAGGTCGTGATCAATTACTATTAGAACTTTGTTTTTATTTCTCGGGAGAAAAATGATATCTAAAGTATAGAAACCACTTTTATAAACCGTTAAAGAAGAACAGAGATCTAATAATGCCTAATGAACATCTACTAGAGAGATGGAACCCGTACCGGTTTATCTTATTAACTTTCTTGCTTCCGTTATATAAATATTCGGAACTTCTATCAGTCTTAATAACATCTCATAGAATTTGAGAGTGTAATCAAAAGATAATGAATAGAAAATTCTTGTCCTATTAGTTATATGAAAATATTTCTATATCAAAACTTTCATTCTACTATAAATTTAGAATAAAAATTGGCGTTAATCAATATATAAAGAATGTTTCAATGTTTCTGCATGCTCCATGTGTGAAATATCTGTACAATTTAGTAAGTTTTATTATATAGTAACAAATGAAAATTTTCGATTCTTAAAAAGAGGAAACTGAAAAATTTTCGAAATATTTAAGTATATTCATTTTCAGTATTTTTATTTGATAATTTAAAACAATGTAGACTTCTGAAGAGTTCTATTGACATGAAAAAGTTATCACTTTACATTATCTTTTATAGTATTCTCATGTGATCTTTTTAATATTATTTTCATACGTAATATTATGTGCATATTTTCCACTATATGAATTTCAATCTGATCGATGTTTTTCAAACGAAGAAGAACATAATAGTGAAAAGAAATCTATTTCAAATTTAACAAATATTAATATGACTATAAATGTAAATTCTTCATCAAAATCTAATCTTCAATCTCATTATGGACCATCAACAAGTGAATTAATACTTGTATTATGGGTTTTTACTTTATTTTGTGAAGAAATTCGACAAGTACAAAAAAAACTTTTTTCTTTTTTCTTATAAATTCTATAATTTTTATTTAATTAGATAAGAGCGAATAAAGTTCACTCACTATATAAGAAGATCAAAGTATATCTTTCTATATTTTGGAATAAATTAGATGCATTAGCTATAATTCTATTTATTCTTGGTTGTATTCTTCGTTTTTTACCAATAAATCAATGTTTTTGTTTTGCACGGATAGTATTAGCTATTGATTTATGTATTTGGTATATTCGAACACTTGATATATTTTCAGCTATAAAAAGACTTGGTCCTAAACTTGTTATGATTGGAGAAATGGTAAGTTGATTAAGTTTATTTTTGATTAATATTTATTTATTTTTCTAATAAAGATTCATGATCTTAAATTTTTTATGTTAATGCTTATTGTATTTATATTAGCATTTGGTGTACCAGCTTATAGTTTATTAGATGGTATTGAGAAACATTCTTGGCATATGCCACGTTATATAATCAATTTTGCTTATTGGCAAATATTTGGTGAATTACAAGAAATTGATCAAATTGAAAGTTTGTTTATTTTCAAATAAATTTATATAAAACAAGATAATATTTTGTTTGTTTTTTGTTCTTAGAAAATTATGAATTAAGTGGTTATGTTATGTTTTTCTTATTAGTTGCATATATGACTGTTGCAAATATTCTTTTAATTAATCTTCTTATAGCAATGTTTAGGTATTATTTTAATTCAAAAAAAAAAAAATTTTTTTTTTGAAAATATTTATTTTAATTTAAAGTAATACATTTGATCGTTTACATTCGGATACAAATTGTATATGGAAATTTCAACAATATTCATTAGTATGTTATGAATTAAAACGTCCATTATTACCACCACCATTGATCATCATATCACATATTTGGCGTATAATAATTTATATGTTTTCACATATTATTAAAATAAAATGGTTTTATATGAAATATATTGAAGAAAAAAATCAAGCTAAAAGTAAATTTAATTTAATTAAATTTCTTAAATTTAATTGATTTAAATAGAAATAAAGATCAATAAAATATTAACAAAACAAATTGAAGAAATTGAAGATGCATTCGGACATGAAATTTATTTTTTTTCTTTAAAAAATAATCAAGAACAAATTGATTCTAATGAAGAACGAATGTAAGATAGATTTGTTGTTTTTTTTTGAAATTAAATAAAAATATAAATTTATGTTTAGATATTCACCACAAGAAATTTCATCAAATAAAATAAAAACACTTGAAAATCAAATTCAAATAATACAAAATCAAGTATTAACTATTGTTAATTTTTGAAAGAATTATTTTGTTCTTTTTTTTGTTCTTTAGCAAAGTAATATGTTTCAATATTTGGAACGTTTAATGAATGGAATTAAAAAAATTGGTGGGAGGGTATGGCCAGCTAACTCTGCTACCGGAGTGAAATTCCGTAACGTTTTTCGCTTATTTTGTTTTCTCGATAAATATCAGGCAGTAGCACGTGAAGAGTTGCGAGACGTCTTAAATTAAAGAGAAAAGTCTTGTACATATTTTAAGATATTTTTCGCTTTTGGAACATTTGTCGTTTCCAAGATATAACAAAAGAATTGAACACCACTTTTGAAAAAGTAATAATTTTCAGAATTGAAAAGTAGTTATCAGTTTTTTAATTATATCTTGGAAACGACAAACGTTCCAAAAGCGAAAAATATCTTAGAATATGTACAAGACTTTTCTCTTTAATTTAAGACGTCTCGCAACTCTTTACGTGCTACTGCCTGATATTTACCGAGGATACAAAATAAGCGAAAAACGTTACGGAATTTCACTCCGGTAGCAGAATTAGCTGGCCATACCCGGGAATGATATTGAAATGCCAAAATGATATTATGATGATTTTAACTGATGATGTATGTAAGACATTGTAATAGTTCTATTGAAATTCCATAAAGGGTAAATTTCTACTGATAAAAATAAGAAAAGAAATATTAATGAAGTTTGGGTGTGGTGGGTGTGGGTGTGGGTGTGGGTGGGTGTGTGGGGTGGGAGTGGCTGTGTATCGCCTCGTCGATTTGCACACCCATATATTAACCCACACCCCCACGTAATAAGAATTATTCATTAAATTATCGAAAACGTCTTATTCAATACGCGTTATATGATTGTCTATCATTAATGGAAATAATATTATTTATGTGTGAAAATTATTTATCTAATCTTCATGATAATGATTTACATATTCAATCATTAGTGGAGTATTTTTTTATTTAACTACAAAATTTAGTCCTTCTCTTTCTTCCTTTCAGTTAGTTAACACTAGTCAAATGTATGAATTGTTGTTTGAAGATGAAAGTGATGAATCTATGACTGGTGATGAATTATATGAACGTCATCAGATTTCATCTGAAGCTCAAACAGATGAACAAACTTTGAATATATTTTTACCTCCAGTTGAACCTCAACCAAGTGAACAAATTGATCGAATTCAGCAAGAAATTAATTGTTATATGTCGAACGATCAATGTTTAACAATTGATCCACAATCAAATAATTATGAATATGATATAGATATTAATTCATCTGAAGAATCTAATCATTATCATCAAGAATTGGAAATGAATTATCATGCTCAAACGAATAATTTTGATGTTATTTCTAGTGCTTTTAATAAAACAAAAAGAAAACGAACCAAATCTGAATCTGCACGAAAGAGAAGAAGTTAAAAATCAAGTATACGACATTGAAAAAATCGATATACCTTTGAAATTATACGTCCTGTTAATACTACCGTAATCAATGTAAAGAAAATTTTACGTTTCTATGCTGTACCTTATATCAACGTTAATGTAGTTCAATCAACACTTTATATGGGATTAACGTCACAAGATTTCAATGATTACTTCAATTAACTATTACCAATGGACATATTAATTTAACTTTTGTGGGGGAGAAGATGTCAGGATCTGCCATCTATATATATACAGTAAAACCTCTACTACTGAACACCCCTCCTTAATGATCAACCTGTCATACTGAACGCTCTCCGGTCCCCCTGAGCAATTTTTGGTGGTTTTGACCCCCTCCTTAATGAAATCCTCGCGATTCTGAATGTGAACACTTTTTTATGGCCCCAACTGTATAATTTTCCTCTGTAATGTGAACGTTATAGAGGGCGCCGTTAAACTTTGAATTAGCACAATGTATCTCATTGGCTAGTTTTGTGATTGGCTTAGAGAGAAATAGCGAAAAAAAATCATTTTCAATCTCGTCTATACACAATTGAATTACGTCTCATATGTTTATATGTTAATGTTAAATTATTAAGTATGTCAACTCGTCATGAACTTTGTTCAGAACAAAAAATTAACCTTATCAAAGAGAAAGAAAATGGACTTTCTCATCGACTATTAAGTGAAAAAATTTATCAAAACAAAGATCCATCTTGGTATATTTTAAATATACACCTGATCCACATACATAAACTTTTGATACTTAAAACTTTTTTTCTCATATTGTATATGGAATGTACAAATTTAATGAATAAAAATCTGTTGATCAATAGAAAAAGATGAAAATATGTGGTTTAAATTTAAAAAAAATTTTTTTTGCATGATCACCCATCATTATGAACGATTTAGGAAACGCCCAGTGGTGTTCAGAATAGAGAGGTTTTACTGTATGTATATATATAGATCGCGATCCTTCAGACGAATATATATAGCTATATATGTTGATTATTTTTGTTGTTCTTCGTGGTGAATCATGTGTATGCTCTCTCTATTAGTTGTTGTTTTTTTTGTCAGATAAAGTTGTGACTGCTGTCGCTTCTAGGCCTGAGAGTGGTCGTTCCTTTTTTTTTTGTTATTTACATTATATACTTGTTTAGGTTTTCTCTTTTTGAAAATAAAGGTCGAAAACGAACCTAACAGTAGATCAAAGAGTTGCGTCAATTCTTCTTGAATCGGAGGCTAAGAAACAGATGCGCTTCACGATTACTTGGATAGTATGGCTTCAAAAAACTCTCGATCGAAGTATATTTTCCAGTATATATTTTGTAGAACATTTCGTAGCTCTCGATCAACTATATACATCCTGACAAAAATACTCCGCTGCTCCCATTGAAGTTAACTCGTGCTGATAGAAACTATATTGATGCTATGTTCAGAAGAAATCTTCTGAAGTAAAGATGATAAATGAAACCATCAAAGGTTTCGCAAAGTTGTCTGTAACTTCAAAGCATTATAAGTTTGAAAAAAGAAGTAGGAATCCTATGATTAAGTGGTTTGCAAATAATAATGTTTCAAAGAAAAATCTTTATTAGTCGTTTGAGTTACTTATTACTTTTTTCTCCTATTACAATAGCGTACGCAAACACACTAAGAAAAATTTTAATTTTCAAGTGAGAATACGATTAGTTATGAAAGAGAAGAAAAGAAATCTGTAAATTAAAGAAAAAATTGCAACATATGCCGTTTATCGAACGAGTTTCGACGAGATCGAGGTGCTGTAAATTGATTATTTAACACATTTTTTATTCTTCCACATTTGTTTCTCATAAAATAATGAACTTATTTTAACCATCAGAGACAGTTACAATTATTTTAACAACTTCAGACTTCGTATTCTATGATGTGGAGAAAATTTGTTTTACTATTTCTTCTCAATGTTTTCATACATTCATCTTCAGCAATTGTACATTCGATGATGATGTCATCAATGATCGATGTGGAATTTCGTTGTCCTAATTCAAGTTGTTATCCATTCGCCAGAATTTTGGTGTCTAGCTTGCTATATTGTCAGACTGCTTGCTTAGCTCAAGAACGATGTCGTACCATCAATTTTTATCAATCAACTAACCTATGTGAATTATTTGCTGAAGAACCTGACAATAATGATGCCATATTAACAAATACTGGAACTATACTTATGACCATCATTGACGGAACACGTGTGCCTTTTGGTTGGTAGGATGAAATCACGTTCTCGTTAGAAATCTAATCGAATATTATCAGGTTGAAACGTGTTAAGATTAAGAATTTCGTCTTCTCAATTTTAGTGTCACTAAAAACTTAACGAATTTAGTATTTTTCAAGGTTCATACTTTTTATATTCTCGAAATGACAGAGAAAAAATCGTATGTATAATAGAAGATTACTCGTTCATATGGAAGTTTTACATGTTATAGCGAAAACTCTTAATGTTTCCGTTTCATATCCTTCATAGATTCAATAAGGATCCTTCAATAATTCATCCTTTTTTCCAGAGGGTTAAGATCTTGAACAGCATATCGCAAGATTTAAACTCAGGAATAAATTAAGAAAATCATAAATCGTGAAATAAACATGTAGCTACGAAATGATCTAGATTTTGGCAGGACACCGAAGAAAATCTTATAGAAATCATGAGCAGGTTTACATTGTGTTAGATTAGGATCTTGGCAGAACTTCAATGATTTCGGATTGAAATATAAGTTTTTGTCTACATCGTGTCGAATTTTCTGAAGCCAAATAGAATTTAGCATGTTATTGTGTAAAAATTTTACGTTCAGTATCTCAAATTTTGACTTAAATAGAAACTGCTACTTGAGTTTTGTATGAAAACAAATTACCACAAAAAAATTTTAATTTTTTTTTTATTCTGAATTCTTTTTTGTATTAATAATTGAAACTATAAAAATATTTTATCGAGAAATATGCTGCTAGATACTAAATATGATTATTGAATGAAAAAATATTTTTGATAGCAAAATTGAAATTAACACCCTAATTTAATAACTTTTAAAAATTTTTTTTGTCCAGATCAGAAGAAAATATGACTAATTTTTATGGATCGAGTGTCAGATTAATTTCGATCTGTATGTATGCGCATTAAGCTGCAAATCATAATTAAGATTCTATCATGTTAGATGTGCTTTGAAATTCAAGGATCTCTGCACAGGCATGCTAATGGCAACTCATAGCTTAAATTCGTTAGTTTCTCGGTAAAAGGGATCATATGATCAGAATATGATCAACGTCTGAGCTCATCAGTACAAACCATTCCATTGTCAACTCTGTTTGTTGAATATTTTATCATTTGGGAAGTTTTTTTGAACTGTCGTGCCGCTACTAGTCATTGCAGGTTTATTTAATGATAAAAGTTTTGAAGAAGAAAGATGAACGTGAAGATACTCCTATTGAAAAATGTGCCTTTGTTGCGCATACTACGATTCAAAGGTGCACTAGGTAGAGCTGATGATTTGAGACAAAACTCAACTCACCAATGTTTACGACGTATAAAATTTCGAAAGACTTTCGAGATGTTACATGCTGATTGATGTTTGGCGTTTTCAAAAACTAGCTGTTCGAACTTTTCTGGGAAGAAAATGCTGACGCTCATCCTCGCTTTGATCAATAATGACATAAACCACTCTTGGTCAAACGAACAAGTCTAATTTGCGCATAGATATTTTAATTTCATATTTTACATTATGAACCTTAATGTTCCACTAAGTGAAATGAAATAAGGTTATTTTGGTTCCTTCGGAAAGTGAATTCATGTTCGTAAACAAAACGCAGATCCCAACAGAATGATCTGATTCATTATTATAGGAAAAAGTTTTCGACAAAAAACTTTTCGTCAGCTTTTGACCAGTTTACACTGTTCAGTTACTCGTATCAGTTATATTTGTAGCCGAAGTGTTCCTATAGACAAGAAAACGATTTTATTCTTCTATACAAACATTCATATGACCAGAACAGCGGCTATCTACTTAGTAAATAGTTTGAAATTAGATCATGCGTTAATGTGCTAAAAGTTTTTTGTTTTGTATTCGATTACGATGAGGAATTCATAAATGCTTCTAAATATTGTAATTTTTCTGAAAACGAACCACTGTTTTATCATTTATTTAATGCGCTTCGTTTGTTCTTTGAGCGGTAATGTCTATAAAGATCGAATGGTATAGAAACGTCTAGGTTTCTGTACTTATAGCACATCTACTCGGTTGCTAGTGTATATGATTGGGTATCACTAGTAAGAAAATTTGATCGATGTGTTTTCCTAAACTTTTGTCATCATATTTAGCTGCTACCACTACAACAACTGCAACTACAGTCAGTAAGTAGTTTCAAGAAGAAATTCAAACAAAGAATGTTTCATTTGTTTATTTTATTTCAGCGATTACATCCAATACTTGCACAGCAGAATGGAACAGTATAACGGTACTTTATCATTGTTATAATAATTGTACCGTTCAGAGTTCGTATGTGCAGTATACATACACATATGTAGCGATTGCCAGTACAACACGAATTACAATTAGTTTGCGTGAAGATATTTATTTTTTTGGCCTTGATAACATAACTGTATATAACAATGCAGCACCCAGCACTCAATTACTTCTCAATGGGGACTTCGAGACATGCACTCTCTCGTCATGGGTCTATTGCAATCCAAGCAATGCAACTTTTTCCGGTCAAGTGCAAACAACCAGCTTCAATTCTCATGGTCAAAAGTATTCAGCTTACTCTGGATCGTGTTTCTATCTGGATGGAGCTGTAGGCGCTCCGGATTATCTTAGCCAAACATTTGCGACCATAGTTGGCAATACATATACTATATCCTTTTGGTTATACAAT